GCAGTAACTAAATTCCCCGGGGTCTCTTTCCTCTCCTCTCCGCTACTGAAAGGTGCAGAAATGCTTTTGACAGCATCTGTCCTCTGACAGATGAATTGTTTTGACAGGAGAATCTGAAACCTTCACCAAAGGACGCATTGAGATGTCAGGCCTGGTAAGGGGCGATGGTGTTGGTAGAAATAAGCGAAATGCTTTAGATTTGTGTGCATGTCAGCTGCCACCTGGAAGAACAGCCTCATGAAAGTGTCCCCCGGTTAACCCTTTGATGGCTCTTGGGAACTGAGCTGGGAGCTCATGCCCCTTTCTGCCAAGCTCTTGGGCCCAATAAGGATTTGCTTAATCATTGAGAAATGAATAGTCAGTAAGCGTAGTGATGAAAGAGTTTTAGAGAAAAAGTTGTTTCAATTTTATTTTAAAAGTTCAGAAAAAAAAAAAAAACCCACCAGTGTTCACAGCAGCATCGTCCACAGTAGCCAAAGGTTGAAGCAGTGTGAAAGTATAGCAGCAGGCCGGCGCCGCGGCTCACTAGGCTAATCCTCCGCCTTGCGGCGCTGGCACACCGGGTTCTAGTCCCGGTCGGAGCGCCAGATTCTGTCCTGGTTGCCCCTCTTCCAGGCCAGCTCTCTGCTGTGGCCAGGGAGTGCAGTGGAGGATGGCCCAAGTGCTTGGGCCCTGCACCCCATGGGAGACCAGGAAAAGCACCTGGCTCCTGGCTCCTGCCATCGGATCAGCGCGGTGCGCCGGCCGCAGCGCGCCGGCCGCGGCGGCCATTGGAGGGTGAACCAACGGCAAAGGAAGACCTTTCTCTCTGTCTCTCTCTCTCACTGTCCACTCTGCCTGTCAAAAAAAAAAAAAGACAAAGATGGTATGTTTTGTGTGTGCATGTATATGTTTTTAAACATTTATTTATTTGAAGGGCAGAGCTACAGAGAGGGAGAGAGAGACAAAGAGAGACATCTTGACTTTCCAAATGTCTGCAACAGCAAGGACTGAGTCAGGTTGAAGCCAGGAGTCTGGAATTCCTTCCAGATCTCCCACATGGGTGGCAGGAGCCCAGGCGCCTGGACTGTGTTCCACCACCTTCTTAGGCTCGTTAACAGGGAAGTAGATTGGAAGTAGAGCAGCTGGGCCTTGAACTAGCTCTCTGATAGGGGTGCTGGTGTTAGAAATGGCGGGTTAACCCCTGCGCAATAATGCTGGCCCCTTAGCAAATGGATTTTACTTGTGCTGGGAGCTTTCTATCTGAAATGGGTCTGTGAGAATTTTGTTTCATGCTGTGTTTGTCAGGGAGAATGCAGTTAAGTATTTCCCTCATTTCCTGCTAGAGCAGCTGAGGCCCAGCGTCCTGTTTCGGGTTTCAGGACCACTCACTGGTGAGACTTAGCTTCCAGGGCAGCCCCGTGTCCAGAGGCAGCAACTCTGGGAAGGGGTGTGAGCCACAGTGCTGTGTCCTCTCGGAATCACCCAGAGTGCCCTGAGCTGAGAGTTAGCCCGTGCAGGCAGTGCCCTGACCCTTGCACGTGCACCTGTGTTCATCATTGTGGTCCTTGCTCCTGCTGGGGCTGCAGTGTTAAGTCCCAGTGAAACTCAGCTTCTTGATTACACCAGCCTGGGGGACACGCCTCTCTCAGGAAGCCCTGCCTAAATAGCAGAATTTGTACTTTCTGAAATTTAATTAATCATTGTCTGCTCTTTAAAGGAAAGACAAACCGAGGGATGTTGTGACATGAAATGGTTTTTTTCTAAGTTGCTGAAGATTGTGTACTCCTGCTGGGTGGGAACCAGCAGGGGTGACTCCCTTTCAGATGGTTCAACACTGAGCCAGCAGCTAATTGCACAAGACCCAGAGAGCCCCAGAGTCACCTCTGGCTGCAGTTGTCAGCCAGAGCCAAGCCACTCACCCTGAACCCAACAGCCTCAGGAGTCAGTGACGTAGAAGGGTGAAAACGGGCACTTTTTAGGCCAAATATAGCCTCCTAGGTGTTTTCCTGGGCCCCTCCAAGGTTACTTTTGACTTTGTTTATTTTTAAGGAATTAGATTTCATGTGAAAATTGAGATGTTGAGCTTTTCTGGATGACAGAGAAGAGTGGTCTCCCCTGGCCCTTGCTGGAGACCATGTGCCAGTGCGGCCTTAGGTGGGCAGGCAGGCAGGCAGGAGCTTATTTTGCAAGGATGCGGTCCCTGATGGTGTTGCTTGCTTGCCCTTCTCGGCACTTGGCTTTATGGTTTCTCCATTTCTCAAACCCTCTCCCAGTACCCTTGATGATTTAAAGGTGCTGATTAAAGGGTGCGTGTCTGGCCTAGCACACACTCTGGTTAAGACACCCGCATCCCCTATCAGGGTACCAGGGTTTGAGTCCTGTTTGCAACTTCCTGTTCGTGCAGACCCCAGGAGGCAGCAGGTGGGTCAGGTAGCTGAATCCCTGCCACGCATGTAGGAAACCTGGATTTATTTCTTGAATCCTGGCTTGGGCATTTGATGAGTGAACCAGAGGATGGCATGGAGGCTTTGTCTGTCTGCCTCTCAAGTAAATTTTAAAACTAAATTTAAAAATGTTGCCAGCATTCTGGAGTAGCAGGTTAAGCTACCACTTGTGTCATTGTCATCCCATGTCAGAGCTCTGGTTTGTGTCCTGGCTGCTCCACTTCCATTCCAGTTGTGTGCTGGTGTGCCTAAGAAGGCAGTATATGGTGGCTCAAGTGTTTGGGCCCCTGCCACTCACATGGGAGACCCGGATGGAGTTCCAGGCTCCTGGCTTTGGCCTGGCTCAGCCCTGGCCACTGAGGCCATTTGCGGAGTCAACCAGTGGATGGGGCAATTTCTCTCTGTCTCTCCCTCTGTTACTCTGCCTTTTTCTTTTCTTTCTTTCTTTTTTTTTTTTTCCTTTCTTTTCCCTTTTAAGATTTATTTACTTGAAAGGGAGTTAGAGAGAGGGAGAAACAGAGAAACAAAGAATGAGCGATCCAGGACTGACCAGGCTGAAGCCAGGAGCCTGGCAGGGACCCAAGCTCTTGTTCATCTTCTACTTTCCCATGCATATTAGCAGGGAGCTGTATGGGAAGCAGAGCAACTGGGACTTGCACTCATATGGGATTCTGGTGTCATACACAGCAACTTAACCCACTGTACCACAATGCTGACCCCCACTCTGCCTTACAAATAAATAAAATAAATCTTAAATTAAAAAGTGGTAGTTACTGTAAACTGACAGTATTTTTATGCCCAGAAATAATGTTTCCACACTTCTCCCCCTTTCAAAATGATAGTCTGCTTAAAATAGAAGAAAATTTGCCCGTCTTAGTCGTCTTCTGACGTGGGAGGACTTGTCTCAGTTTGTGGATTTTTTTCCCCAGGTGTCACTGGTTGACGTCTGTGTACTCATTAATAAATACCCCGAGGCACAGACAAGCTCATACTTGACTTCAGTATGCGGTTTAAAAAATTACCCCCTTCAATCTTTATGGTAACATAATCTCCCGACAAATTGCTTTTAATTCAGGCTGTGCCATGAACGCAGATGAACCATTAGTTTCAAGTGTGCTTTGACTTTTATTTAGATGAATGTCTCTGAGCTCACAGCGGAATGGCGATCAGTTGTAGATTAGTATTGATTGAAATGTTGCCGGAGTAAGTTTAAGAGATAGCGGCCACTTCTGTGACACTTGGGAGGCAGCCTTGGGCTGCTGGTTAGTTACAGTGGCTGTAGGCAGTGATGTGCATGGCATTGGTCACTGAGATGGAAATTGCTCAGCTCCTCGGCACAGAAAGGGCTTCAGCGGTGGGAAGCGGGGTTGCCATGCGAAACCAGAAGTCAGGGCCCGTCCAGATCACACCTCTGTGACTTCTGTTTCAGAAAGGGTAAGCTGGCCTGGGTTGAGGTTGTGCTGGGAGTTAGTCAGTGGACCAAGTTCGTCCCGGCTTGCTGTTTGTCTGCCTCTCGGGATCCAGTGGGTGGTGGGGCTAGAGATGCGGTTGTGACAGTGGAGACGGCTCCCATCGCTGGTCATGGGAGGCTTACCTGGCCTGTGATTGGCACCAGTGGAGCGTTCCCTCAGCTGTCTCCTTTCTCCTGTGTGACTGTCACCCCCAGCATGCAGTCCTTGAAGGTTGCAATACTGTGTCGGCAAATGACCTGGACTCAGAATCTGTGCTCATTTTCTGAACAGTCCCTGGAACTTAGACTGTACATCTGAGCGGTTTCTAGGCTTGTGTAGACTAAGGTTTCTCAGTCTGTGGGTACCAGTGTCAACATTCAGAGCTGGGGAATTCTCTGGTGGAGGGAGGGGGAAGTGCTACCTGTGCACTCTTGGATGTTTGCCTCTCGGGATCCAGTAGGTGGTGGGGCTAGAGATGCGGTTGTGACAGCATCTTTAGCTTTTTTGTGATAGCATCCTTGGCTTTTGCCCACCAAGTGCCAGTAAACCTGTCACCCCCCCCCCAAAAAAAAAAAAACAAAAAAAAAACAAAAAGTATCTCCGGCTATTGCTAAAGGTCCCTTAAGGTGCAGAAATCATCCCTTGCAAGAACTGCTGTAGACAACGCAAGGTCAACCTCCCCTCCCCTTTGCTTTTTTCATTTACTGCTGTGTGATGTGGGTGCTTTAGTGAGACGCTGATTTTAAAATTGCCACTAAGCACAGCCTTGGACTCCTGTGGTGCAAAGCCTGTGTTCCAAGGCACGGCTTAGAATTACTTTAAAAATTTACTTTAAAAATTGCTATGTCATAAAGTAGTGTTGATTGAAATCATTTGGGTTTATCCAGCCTCGGGTGATGTGGCCTTTGACAGTGCTGCTTCCAGTGCCTTGTGGATGCCAACTGGGAGGGTGTATCTGTAAGTCTCAGTGTCAGTGGCTCTGTAACAGAGTGCATGAGACTGAGCATTCAGGAGGGAGAGGGCTTGGGTTTTTGGGGTTGCATAGGATAGGAGAAAATATCCTGAATCTTGAGTTTGATGCCAAATATTGATGCCTTCTTTTTTTTTTCTTTCCATTTACCAGAAACCTGAGTTACAACAAGCTCTCTGAGATCGACCCTGCTGTTTTTGAGGACTTGCCGAACCTGCAGGAAGTGTGAGTACTCCCCGGCAGGTGCAGGATAAAGGGACCTCTTGGGGGGATACGCAGGCACTGCAGCATCACTACTCTCTCGATGAGCAGCCTCACTTCAGGGGAGACACGTTTGTACCTGGGCTGGCAGTGACAAATGGTGCTACAGTACTTCCCTGCCCCCCGACCTTCCCCCATCCCCCGTTATCCACAGTTCTGGGGTCCAAGCAGTTGTGGTCTGAAAATATTATATGGAAAATTCTAGAAATAAACAACTCTGAAGTTTAAAAAAAATTTTTTTTGACAGGCAGAGTTAGAGACAGAGAGAAAGGTCTTCCTTTTTATGTTGGTTCACCCCCCCAAGTGGCCGCTACAGCCGGCATGCTGCACCGATACGAAGCCAGGAGCCAGGCTCCTCCTCCCGGTCTCCCATGCGGGTGCAGGGCCCAAGCACTTGGGCCATCCTCCACTGCACTCCCGGGCCACAGCAGAGAGCTGGACTGGAAGAGGAGCAACCAGGACAGAATCTGGTGCCCCAGCTGGGACTAGAACCCGGTGTGCCAGCGCCGCAGGCAGAGGATTGGCTAGTGAGCCGCGGTGCCGGCCTGAAGTTTAAATTGTGCACTCTCCTGAGTAGCATAATTCAGTCTTGTGCTGGTTCACTCTGTTGTGACTCATCCCTTTGTCCAATGTGCCCTGCCCGTTGGTCCCTTAGCAGCCTTCTTGGTTACCAGATCTGCTGATGCAGTGTTGCAGTCCTTGTGTTTTCATAACCCTGTTGCACCTAGTAATGGCCTCAGCACACAAGAGTGGTGATCCTGGCAATTCTGTAATAGTATTTGTTGTTGTTCTCTTTTGTTAGTGGTGCTAATACTATGCCTCGCCTATAATTTAAACGTTATTAGAGGTATGTATAGGAACAACCATAGCACATCTAGCTTGTCCACAGTCTCAGGCATCCACTGGGGGTCTTGGAACTGTATCCCCCACAGGTAAGGGGAACCCCTGTACTTGGAAGTGCTGCTTTGCTGAGATCCTCTGTTCACCCTAGGCAGTCTCTGGAGAGTGTGCTGCGATCTAGGAAGCACAGGGTTCCTGGAAATTGTGGGTGCCCAGTGGGTGTATGGCAGAGCTTCCTCCCTTGTAGGAGGCTTTGTGGACTGTTGGGGTAATGCGTGGGTTGGGCACTTTGTCCAGGTTCCCAGGGACTGGAGCAGCCTGCGTGGTGGTGGCTATGAGGCCAGCATGCCCCTGCTGTTCGCCAGGAAACAGAGCCATAGAAGAGTGGGTCACAGAGGCTCGCCTTTTCCCATCCACCACCAAACAACCAGGCAGGTGTTCGTGCCTTTATCAACTGCAGGCTTCAGTTTGTTTCCTCATCTTTTTCATGCAAAGAATTTTGAATGATCAGGAGTTGGAACTCCATAGGAACTTTACAGAAGCTTTCATTTAAGTCATGCCTCTGTACTGTAGAACAATTGGGAACTGCCAGTGTTATCACCCATCCATAACCATTGTGCACACTTAGTGAAAAATAGATCGCTGTGGGTAATGTGTTCATGCATGTCTCTTACATTTTTTTCTTTTATTTGAGAGGCAGAGTGAGCACCCTCTTAACTTTCACTCTCTGGATGCTTGCAACAGCAAGGGCTGGGCTGGGGTGGAAGCAGGGAGCTGGGGACACAGTTCAGGTCTCCCCTGCCAGTAGTAGGAACCCAGTTCCTTGAGCTGTTATTGCTGCCTCCTGGGGTCTTCGTTTAGCAGGAAATTGGAGTCAGGAGCCAGAGCTGGGTATAAACTCTGGTACTCTCATGTTGGATGAAGGTATCTTAATTGGCATCCTAATCCTTAGGCCAAATACTTGATGCAAATTAAAGTTTTTTGGATATGGTGTTTTAATTTTACGTAAGTTACTGTACAGAGGTCCATAAATTGTCATCCAGTGCTTCTATTAGCCATTTTCATTAGACATTCCTAGGTAAAGGTCCTTACGTGTTTTTATTAAAAGTAACTGATCAAAGCCCTTGCTTGCTACTCCTTTTTTTCCCTAAGATTTATTTATTTATTTGAAAGTCAGAGTTACAAATAGAGTTCTGAGGTGCTGGGCTTAGAGCGTCAACATAGGAACTTTGGGGGGACATATAGTGACCCAGAATGATACACTTGGCTATCAGGAGCTGCTTAGGCTAATAACCCAGCGCTTTTCCCCCAATCTAAGCTATCTTTAATGCCTGTGGTTTAGAACATACTTAAATTCTGTTTGCTAAGTCTCAAGGCTTAGTGGTTTCTTTGAGAATTGGATACAATTAAAATTGGGGTGTTGCCTCTAGCATCTTTCAGGCTTTCATTTAACACTTGAGCGCCTGCTCGGTACCACACGCTGCTCCAGGGCTGAGGTCCAGGAAGGAGGGAGACACAGACCGAGCTGGGACCAGGGAGAGGCAAGAGATGCACCCACCTGAAGTGCAGAAATGACAGGGGGCCAGAAACTCAGCAGTCAAGAGAAAGGGTTTATTGGTGCAGGATTTAAAATATCAGCTATCTCTGTCTCTCTGTCTCTGTCTCTTTCTCTTCCTCTCTTCCCCCAGTGAATAAAATATCAAAACGTTTAAATCAAGATGGAATCAGTATTTCTGATTCTTTACCTTTTGCCTTGGATTCCAGAATGGCGTGACAGGGCTGTTGCTGCTTGAGTTTTGATTTCAGTTGCTGATACTTGCTCGTCCTCCTTCCCTGCCCTCCTTCCCTTCCATTCTTTCCTTGGATTTTGGAGGAGTAATCGTGGAGATGGGCTGGGCGGGAAGGTGATGCCTGAGCACATGTCGATGACATGAGCAGAGAAGACTGTGCGTGTACAAGGGCATCAAGGAAGGATCAGCATGAGGGCCCCTGCCTGTGTTGTGCCTGAGGGGAGGGGTGCGCAGCAGGGCCTGGATCCTCTAGGGCCCTGGGCCACGGTAGGTATTGGTTTCAGCTGTCATCGGAGGCGTGGCAGGTCCTCGGGTGTGCGTCCTCCGGGTTCTCTCTGGCTCTCTGATTCCACTTCCTTGCCCAGATAGGCTTCCAGCTTTTCATTTGTTTTGGCTCCCTTGACCTCTGGCCTTCAGTCCCCTTCCTCTCAGGCCTTCTTCGAGTGCGTGCCCCACCCAGATGCACATGTGAAGACCTCTGACTGCTCTCTGCCCTTCACAGGGGATGCTGGTTATGAGTCTTGCTTAACAACAGTCACAGTCATCCCACAGCTCTGTGTTAATAAACCTCTGGGGAATATGATCTCATCCCAGCCTCACACCAGTGCTGTGACAGAAGAGGTTTTCTTTGCAAGGATTTTCTCCACAGAGGAGGAAGCAGCAGCTCAGACAGGTTCAAGAAACTTGCAATTTGAAGTGGTTGGTGACGTCGAGTGTTGGGCTCAAATCTGCGGGATTCCAGAGCCTAAGCACTGAGCCCTGGGGCTGCACTGCATTAAGCTCCCTGGTCCCTCATCTTACTCCTGACATGCAGGTGAAGATGGAGAAAGACAGGAAGTGATCACCTAACTCCTGGCTTTACAGTGTGTGCGCATCTTCCCTCTGTAGAGAGTATTCACTCTTAATCCCCCAGACACCTCATCCAAACCCACACTGTCTTTAAGCCTGGCCTCCCCTCTCCCCTCCCAACTTGGGTTCTCTCCCTCACCTGAACTTCTGTTGCATTTACAAGGGGACTTCAAAAAGTTTGTGCAAAATGGAATTAGTGAAGATGAGTTCATCTAGGTGCAAAAAATTTCTGAAGGCAATGTATGAGGGATCTTTAAAATTTACTGGAAAAAAACTTGTGCTAAGAAAAAGCCATGCATGGATTTCATATTTTTTATTTCTTTTTTTTAAAGATTTATTTATTTATTTGAAAGAGTGGTGGGGGGAGAGGTCTTCCATCCGATGGTTCACTCCCCAATTGGTCACAACAGCTGGAGCTGTGCCGATCCGAAGGCAGGAGCTTCTTTCAGGTCTCCCATGTGGGTGCAGGGGCCCAAGGACTTGGGCCATCTTCTGCTTTCCCAGGCCATAGCAGAGGGCTGGATTGGAAGTGGAGCAGCCAGGTCTCGAACTGGTGCCCATAGGGATGCTGGCGCTTCAGGCCAGGGCATTAACCTGCTGCACCACAGTGCTGGCCCCTCATATTTTTTATTTCTTTGCACCAAAATAAGCTTGTCTCTTAATTCCATTTTTCCACAATTTGGTTTCCTCTCATATAGGCAGGATGATGTTCCCAGCTCTAGCATGTGCTATGTGTGTTAATGCTCCCCTTCCTCCTACCAGAACACTTGGGGAGCTTGATCCTAAGTTGGCCATAGTGCTAGGCACTCGACTCCTTAGTTGCCCTTCCACCCTTCCCAGCAGCCGGAGCAACATGGGGTTTAGCTGCAATTGCACAGCTAGTGCTTGGCCTGCCCCTCCCCCCCCGCCCCCCCACCCCGCGCCCAGTAACTCCTGCGAACTCTCGTCTGTGGCCCCTTGCTAACTCCCTGACTGTGGGAGTTTGTGAAGACAGAGATCCCATCTTAGCCATACCCTCTGGGTTTAAGTGGGGACAACGCTCAGTCTGGTAGCAAACAGACCTGGAGTTGTGTTCTGGTTCTGCTCTTGCCCTGCTCTGTGACTCTGGACAGGGGACATAGCACCTGCTTGTTCCCTGTCCCCTGTCTGTGCTAATAGATGTGCTAACACATAGTCAGTATTAGTGTAGTCACTCATCAAAGAGAGGGTGTCCAGGGCCTTGCACACGGGAAAGACTCAATGGATGGTATTTCCTGTCTGTTCTGCTACCTTTGGAGCCGCACTGTCCCCCAAGCTGGGTGCACTGTTTGGGAGCAAATCCTTGCGGCTTGACAGGTTGACCCTCTGACCCCTCCCTCCCCCGCCCTGGGGGCTGGATGAGCTGAATTCACTGGTGGCCAGAGCAGCAAAACTTCTCCCTGATGAAGATCTGGGCTTCTTCCTGAGGCCCTCTGGTACTGCTGGGAGAAAGAAGGGAGCTGTTAG